AGTGTACAGACATCTCCCTGAGAGAGAGAAAGGGGGACTGAGAAAAACCAGTCAGTGTACAGATATCTCCCTGACAGAGACAGAGAGGCGACTGAGAGACACCAAACAGTGTGCTGATGTCTCCCTCAGAGAGAGAGAGAGGGGACTGAGAGAAAACAGTCAGTGTACAGGTATCTCCCTGAGAGAGAGAGGGTGGGGACTGAGAGACAGCAGTTACTGTACAGATATTTCACTGAGAAAAAGGAGAGGGGACTGACAGACAGTAGTTACTGTACAGATGTCTGCCTGAAAGAAAGGCGACAGAACAACACCAACTTAGGGATTGAGAGAAAGAGGCACTGTAACACTCTCTAGTCACTCAATTGGTGAATGCAGTTAGGGGATGTTTCAACACGGCTGGTGTTGAGAGCTGTGAAGTCTTCCACGGTTGAATAGGACACATCCAGGTTTCAGGGTGGGTTTGTAGAAAGCAGAAAGCTCCTACCACTGGCAGAGGTGCCCAATGTTCCAGCAGTCCCCGTGTGACCCTGTAACTAACTGCCTGGTGCAAGCAGGGCAGCCTGGTGAACAAGGCCCTCATTATTGTGAATGTTCTGATAAGCTGGGTCCTGTATTTACCCAGCCCTGCTGTTATCAGCCTCCGCAAACAGCAGGAAGTTGTAAACTGCGTTATGACACCTGCCTGCTGCGTGGGCCTCAGCCATCAAGCCCCTGGTCAACTTGCTGCTCTAAGCAAGCTGATCAGCCGCAGGGGCTGCGCAGCAGGGCAGGGGAGAAAGCTGGCGAGAATCAGTGGAGATGTGCTGACCCATTCAGTCACCAATGGGTTACAGACTGGGAGAACAACAACTCGAAACTCCCTGGTTGCTCTTCCACCACTGACTAGGCCAGGGACTAGTCTACAGAACAGCAACCTCAATTCACAACACGTAGAATAAATGACTGATAAACTGCACAGGAATTGGGTCCATGCGCATGGGCTGAGGACAGGTGCAGCACAGGGTATGATACAGAGTAAAGCTCCCTCCTTACTGTCGCCATCAAAAACTCCCTGGACAGGGACAACACAGGGTTAGATACAGACTAAAGCTCCCTCTACACTGTCCCCCATCAAAATACTTCCAGGACAGAGACAGCATGGGGTTAGATACAGAGTAAAGCTCCCTCTACACTGTTCCCCATCAAACACTCCCAGGACAGTGATAGCACAGGGTTAGGTACAGAGTAAAGCTCACACTACACTGGCCCCCGTCCAACACTCCCAGGACAGGGACAGTATGGGGCCGATACAGAGTCAAGCTTCCTCTATGCTGTCCTGCATCAACCATCCAAGACAGATACAACGTGGGGTTATACACAGAGAACAGCTCTTTTAAACTGTAAGTAAAGCTCCCTCTAATCTGTAAAGTGAAAGTAAAGCTTCCTCAACATTATTCTGATTAAGACAGAGACAGCATGGTGTTGGATAAAGCAGAAAGCTCCCTTGATGCTGTCTGAAACATTTGATGCACAGGTACTTAGTAGGAGTTTGAAATGTTTATGTTGTATTTAAGCTGTGGAGTAAAAATGGGAGGTCCATTTTAAAGATGTAGCAGATTTCAAAACTGCTTCCAGAAGGAAGGAGCCTTGGCGAGTCACTGCAGTGCATCTTGTAGACGGTACTCATGTGCTGCTGTGCATTGGTGGTGGAGGGAGTGAGTGTTGAAGGTGGGGTTTAGTGTGTGGATCAAGCAGGAGGTGGCTGCTTTGTCCTGGATGGTGTTGAGCTTCTTGAGTGTTGTTGGAGCTGCACCTATCCAGGCAAGTGGGGAGTGTTCCATCACCCTCCTGACTTGTGCCTTGTGGATGGCGGGACAGGCTTTCGGGGGGAGTCAGAAGGTGAGTTACTCACCACAGGATTCCCAGCCTCCAGCCTGCTCCTGTAGCCTGTATTGATATGGATGGCTCCAGTTCATTCTGGTCAATGATATTCCCCAGGATGTTGATAGTGGGGGTATTCAGTGATGATAACGCCATTGAATATCAAGGGGCGATGATTAGATTCTCTCTTGTTGGAAATAGTCATTGCCTGGTCCCTGTGTAGTGTGAATGTAGCTTGCCACTTGTCAACCCAAACCTGGATATTGTCCAGGTCTTGCTGCAGTTGGACACAGACCGCATATGAACATTGACTGCTTTAGTATCTAAGGAGTTGTGAATGGTACTGAACATTATGCAATCATCAGCGAACATCCCCACTTCTGACTGTATGAAGGAGGGAAGGTCATTGACGAAGCAGGTCTGGCCTGGGAAACTACCCTGTGGAGCTGTATTCTGGTATCTCTACCTCTGAGCCGAGTCCCACCTGCTCCTGAGGTGTGCAACAGCATGGCTCAGCAAAATATCTACCCTGAGGAGCTCCTGCTGAGATAACTAACAACCACAACCATATTCATATCTCTCTCTCACTGCTGGTCTCCCTCTGTCCCTCACTCACTATCTCTACCTATCCCTCTATTCCCTCTACCTATCTCGACTCCTGCTAACACTCTATCTCTTTACATCCCTCCCACCTTTTCTCTACATTCCTATCCCACTCTTTTTCTCCCTTTCTCTCTCTTACTCCTTCAATTTCCCTTTTTCTGTACCTTCCCCACCCTGTCATTTTCCCTTCCTCGTTACCTTTGCCACTCTTGTACTGCCTCTGTCTCCATCCTCCTAACTGTTCCTCTTTATCTCCCCACACACTGTCTCTTTCTCTCTATCCCCGCTATCTCTTCACCTGTCTCTCTCTCTCCCTCCCTAGCTCTCTCACTCCCACTCACTCTGTTCACTCTCCGTTCCTCCTATCTCAATCACCCTCTCTTCCTATACCTATGTCTATCCCCACCACTTTCCCTCCCTCTCTCCCTCTAGGCCTACCGCCTGTCTCAATTACCTCTTTGTTCTACTATTTCTATCACGCATTTCTTTCTCTCTCCCTCCTTTTCTCCTTCTGTCTTTCCTTATCTCTATCCCTCATCTCCATCTCTGTTTCTGTCACCTCATTTCTATCTCCTTCTTCTCATGCTATCCCCTTCCGTCTCACCACTTGACTGTCACCTTGTCTCTCTATCTCTTTCATCCCTCCCTCTCTCACCCCATATCTGTCCCCATCTCTCTCCTTTATTCTCTATACCCCTCCCTCTCACCTTGTCTCTCTCTATCTCATTATTCTCCCTCATCCTTTCTGTCTCCCATCTCTATTACCTCATCTCTATCCCTCTGTCCCATTAACTCTCTCTACGTTTTTTCCTCTATTCCCAGCTCTATCCTTCTCTCCATCTTTACCTCCCCATTTCTACCTCTCTAACATCTTGTCTCACTCACTTTCTATCCTACTTCCTCTATCCTCTGCCTCTCCATCTCTATATCTGGTCCCTCTCTAACTGCCCCCGTTTATACCCTCTCACCATTCCCACCTCTCTCTATCCTCCCCCCTCTCCACCTGTCTGTCCTTCTATCTCTCTCCCTCTCTATCCATTTCCCTGTCCCTGTGACTCTCTCTCTCTATCCACCTGCCTGCCCCTCTGTCTCTCTCTATCCACCTGCCTGCCCCTCTGCCTCTCCCTATCCAAATACCTGTCTCTCTGTCTCTCCCTATCCGCCTGCCTGTCCCTCTGTCTGTCTCTCCCTCTCCACCTGCCTGTCTCTTTCTCTCTCTCTCCCTATTCACGTGGCTGACTCTGTCTCTCTCTCTCTCTCTATCCACCAGCCTATCCCTCTGTATCTCTCTATCTCCCTATCCACCTGCCTGTCCGTCTCTCTCTCTCTCCATCTGCCTGTATCTCTGTGTCTATCACTCTCTCTCCCTCTCCACCTGCCTGTCTCTCTCTCTCTCCCTCTCTGTACACCTGCCTGTCCCTCTCTTACTCTCTCTCCCTCCCTCCCTCCGTCTACCTCTCTACAACACCGCCTCCCTTTCCGACACGTGTTGCCGATGCACTGGGAGAGACTGCATTCACCTGGGCGGTGCTAGACTTCGTGAGAAAAGAATGTATTTGTGTGTCGGGTAAGGGAGGTTGGTGTGGTGGTGGGAGGTGGGGGGAGAGAAAGAGAGAGAGGGAGGGAGAGAGATAGAGACACAGAGAGAGAGAGAGAAACTACTGAGCGTCTCAGAAGTGCCGAGCAATGGGCAGGCTGCAATTAATCACACTCCAGCTACAGAGCGGAGATTTCAAAGCACCTCCCCTCTGTACCTGAGGAACTAATCTGTTAATCTGATTATTGGTTAACTCTGAGGTGAGGCTTTCTAAATGTGACAAATGTTTTGTTTTTGCTCTTTCTGGTCAATGTGGAGGCAGGTAAAAGCTCCAAAAGTATTTGCACAATGAAAGCTTACTCTCTCTCTCTCTCTCTCTCTGTGTTGAGGTAAAGCAATTGTGAAGATATTTGTGAAAGAGAAATTTGTATCAGAACTTCCTCCTCCAGTTTGCTGTCAGTGATCTTGCAGTAGTCGGTGTTTCGTTCAGCGAAACCTTGAAGGAAAAGACACTTCTTTCTTTCTCCTCTGCCTTTTTGGAGGACTTTTTTTTTCCCTTGGGGGTAAAAAAAACCAGATTCCTCCCACAGAGATCAGGAAGAGAAACTGGTTTCTGTGCAGTGTGTGCGTTCTCTACCCCAAGTTCAGACATGCACCTGCAGAAGACAGTGAAATTCAGAAATGCCAGTGCTACCTGCCTCGACTGCCTGAGCTTGGATTGGAAAACCTTCTAGCTAGTGTTAGGTAATCTCCACAACCTGCCAAGACTCCCTGACAGTGCCCAGGAGGCTGTGAGAGTTTCTTCACCAGCTCTGGAATTGTTTGAAGTCTGCATCTCTCCTGGTTGGAAAAGAGGGGGGAGAATCTACGCTTGCATGAAGGGGCAGTCAGTCTGTGATCTGGTTCACACACACAGGTCCCTGCAAACATCCATGCAGGGATTGACAGCATGGAGTTGAGGCTGAATCCAGGAATGTACAACACTCTCCTCTGCATCGGGATGGTCTATTTAGGAGCTGGGTAAGTCTCTCTCGCTGTCTTCTGTCAGTCATTTATCTGGGCAGCTCTGAGGACCATATCCTTAATTTTAAACAACCTCAAGAGAAAATAAAATGCAGACCCCTCTATAAACTCTCCCCCAACAATCACTCCCAGGTCAGGGACAGAACAGGATTAGGTACAGAGTAAAGCTTCCTCTACACTGGCCCCAACAAACATACCCAGGTCAGGAACAGCATGGGCTTACATACAGAGTAAAGCTTCCTCTACATTGGCCCCATCAAACACTCCCAGGACAGGGGCAGCGTAGGATTAGATACAGAGTAAAGCTACCTCTACACTGGCCGCATCAAACACACCCAGGTAGGGACAGCACAGAGTGAAAAGCCCTCTACTCTGTCTCTCTGTCAAGCCCTCCCAGGACAGGGAGGGCATGGGGTTAGATACTGAGTAAAGCTCCTTCTACATTGTCCCCACATCAACACACCCAGGACAGGGACAGCACAGGGTTAGATACAGAGTAAAGCTTCCTCTACACTGCTCCCCCAACAAACACACCCAGGACAGGTACAGCACAGAATTAGATGCAGAGTAAACTTCCCTCTACACTGCTCCCCCAACAAACACATCCAGAACAGGGAGCACGGGGTTAGATACAGAGTAAAACTTCCTCTACAATGTCCTCCATCAAACATTTCCAGGAGAGGGACAGGAGGGGGTTAGGTACAGAGCAAAGCTCCCAGAGGATTTTAAAAATGTGGTGTTGAAGGGCTGGGGAATGTGTGTGTCAGTGAGCAGAGGTTTGAGTCGAGGGGTGACCGGGTTCAATGTGAGTTACGACACCGATGAACTAAAGTAGTTGGGTTTGGGATGAGATGGAGATTCCAGATGTTGGAATGTGGGAGACCAGCCTGGAGTGATTTGGAAAAGTAGAGTTTGGAGGAAACGAGGGCACAGATGAGGGGTTTAGCAGCTCATGAGCTAGTAGAGGGGCAGAGACAGGCAGCATTAGAGCAATGGAAATGTGTGATCGTATTGATGGTGGGGGTGTGAGTTCAGAAACTGGGGGTTCAGTGCCAGATTAAGCTGGCGAACAGTGTGGTTCAACTTCACACCCTTAGCAGAAAGCGCAAGGGTATTATTGCTTGGGAATGCAGCTTGGAGTAGGGTCTGGAAACAATGGCTTCAGCCTTCCATACATTTCACTAGAGGCATTTCCCTCAGTACTGGATGTAAGAGAAGCAGGATGACCATCTAGACATTGTAGAGGCATAGAGGGAGGTTTACTGTCCATCTAACCCTGTGCTGCCCTTGTCCTGGCAGTGTCTGATGGGAACAGTGCAGAGGAAGCTTTAGTCTGTATCTAA